GCCATATCCAATGAGAGTTCTCATCTCTCCTTATCGGGGTTTTATAAAGGATCGACTGGCAAAACTTGAGCAACAGAAAAATAACTAATTGTTTAAAGGTAAGTTCTGAAACAGCATTCGCGTTCTCATTCACTTAGGTCCCGCCCACAAGAATCCAGGTTTTTTAAATGCAATTTTTTTTAAAACAAATCGGCCTTCCGTGTCCAAACCAATCAAATGAATCCCCTAACAGAAACTGCAGCCCACTGTGCTTTTTTTACCCGAATCCGGGTAAAAAAAAAATACGGTTTCAAAAATTTTGCAATACCTTATTGACGGTACCTTATTCGCATACCAGGGAGCTTCAGGTGGCTCGATGGGGTCTTTCAGGGTCGATACATAACAATTTTGAGCACAAATTACGCAGCTGTATTAGATAAAGATACAAATTTGTTATGATCGGAGTTACAATGACATCGGAGTTGTCATAGCAACGAAATGACACCATTATTACCTATCTTACTTGCAGACGCATTTCTCGGCACTCCTCCTCAAGAGGTTTTTTCTCCAATAGCCACCTCAATGTTAGAGCTGTTTAGGTTTTTAAGTGCGTTATCGAAGGGATAAAGTTTTTATTGTTAGAAATACAGTAAAAACTGGACAATTTTTATGTTCGGCCGTTAGCTGCAGAAATCGAAGCGGTTTTTAAATGCAATTTCACCTCTGACTACTGAGTAGTTTCAATCTTCTTAAAAACGTTTGTGAAAAATCGTGGAGATAACTTCAGGCGATTGCTACAAAGTAACGTTTTTCGTCATTTCTAACATTTAATTAAGAGTCAAAAAGAGTTGAGATATGAACTCAGTAGACGGCATTCGCCGTGTATGCTTGATTATTATACAGATGTCCTAATAGAAAAGCTTCGCGTGAATCGAGTCTGATTGCACGTTTGGCTTGGGTTTGAGTTTCTGGATCAACGCATTATTCCTTCACTTTTTGAGGCTCGAAAAAATGTTCGCAAGAGATGGTTTCTCGACCCAGTGTTGTTTCATGTACCTCCCAATCGAAGGATTTGGGCATGTCTGTTCGTGATGATATAAAGGAACTTTCAATAATTCACTAACACTACACTGGTTCGTTTTTCATTTCAGACTACTGAAGACATGAAATTTGACTATTGTGGCGTGATTTGGCTTTTGTGTACTTATTTTCCAAACAGCATGTGAAGACTTTTTATCACCAACTGCATATTTCTTTGGTCGTTTTGTCGTTTTCGCCAAAAACATAATGTATATGAATTGCTTAACGAAAATTTTGTAACTATGAATTTCAAATCGATGATAGGGTATTTACCCAAAATGCATTATAAAGTGCAATTTTATATTAATATTAATTTTAATTAAAGAAAAGAAACGTTGTAAACTTGTCATTTTCTCTTCAAAATGCTGCTAAACTGATTTCGGTTATCCAAGAAACGTACCCGTTTTTTACCAAAAAAAAACCCCTCCCAATAAGTAATCATACACCCTGTTATAACATAAATCAAAACAAGTTTTCAAATGTTTTTAGTCTGGAAATATAAATTTTAGTCATGCATTTGACAGCATTAGGGGTCTTAAGAAAAGGAAGAACGACGTAAATCAACCGGAAGTGGGCCTTTTCCCTATAAATACGCCTCGATGCTACCAAATTTGGATTGCTAAGCGTCTATATTTTCATAGAGACGATTTGCCCGAAAATTTGGTGAGAAAAACACCCACTTCTGGCTAACAGGCATAGTCAAAACTGGGGGAGGGGGTGAACCACAAAAGAAAGACACACACCAAAATAACCGCCAGCAACGCAGGCCTGATGTTTACCTTCGAAACAGCCATCATCATCCACATTGCTTGTTGAGGGTATGTAATCAAAAGTTTGGCGATGATTTCCTGGCAATGGACAAAGGGTAAGGAGAAGTGTTGAGAGGTTGAAGATCCGCATGAAAATAATCTTTTTTCCATAATTGCTCAAGTGATAAACAATATGAGAATACCAAAATAAAAAATAAATAAAAAAAAAAAACATTAGTTTCTGAATAAATGATTCAAGCAGGAATTGAAAGAGCGGATAAAAATTTGGAAAGCTTAACCTCAACAATGGATTGCAACGGACGCTGAAAATTAGAAGCCTTTGCGTTACATGTGAGATATCATGGATAAGTTCTTTTTTCATATTCACAATATTTTCCTGCACATTTTGCCTCAACTTGGGGCGAAGCGTACCGTAGTCGCTAAACAACATTGACTTGGCATGAAAATCATTGTGTAAGAGAAGTGCAAAGATAACGAACGAAAGGATTGAGCCAGCGTGCAAAGCTATGGAATGAAGGCAAAGATATTAGATTCCATTTTTTTTAGTAAGCTTACACTGAAAATCTTACCTCGAGTTGATTGAAGACAGTCTGATTCGCATGACAAATACGTGAGATGAGCAGAGAGAAGGCCGTGAGAAACTGGTACGGAGGAAGTTTATTGGTCAACTCTGCCATAATCTATTACGTTAAGAGAAAATATACTAAACGTGAGACAAGTTAATGACGACGACGATGATGATGATGACCACGATGACAGCGATGATGATGACGATAACGGTAATGATGACGATGATGGCGATGATGATTATAACCTAAGGCAATTTGAATTGAAGTAAAACACTAACGTATTAAGACAGTTCTCATTCATAACAATGTAAGCAAATATCGCTGGAATAAATTACAGACCTCATTAAAATCCGCTAACTTTTGGCGTTTTCCTCCTCTGTCAGAAGATTTCGTTTGGCGACCTAAAAGTAATATTACATGGCAGAATTCATTTACGTGTAGAGTAGTATCCTTTTTTGGTAGAGTTCTTTAACTTAGCAGCTAAAGCAAACAACAAGGCGTCTTAAAACAAAGTCAAAGGTTTAGCTAGGAAACATGCTGCATTTGTATTGATTATCTGTTTATAGTTGAATAAAGAGACAATGCAACTTCGCCGTGCCATTAAGTCCCTAATGAGTTGAGAATGCGCAGTTGCACAGAACGGATGTGCTCAATGGGTAAAAACGTTGTCAACGTCGCACTCGTTGTCAATGCTAACATTCTCTATTATCACAGAATAGGGCCAGCATTATAATGTACAGCGTTTGCAAGAGTACAGGGCATTTGACACATTATTCTATTTTAAAATGAACAACGCGAATTGGTCTCTAATTGCTCAAGTTCTTAAAACATACTTCCCTTGACCACAAACGCAATCCAAGCCTCTTTCCTGCTTCACTTAATTCCGAACCCAGCAAGTACAGGGGAACATCGACATAACGAACCCCTATATAACGAAAACCTCGGTATAACTAACGATTTTCTTTACCCCAGTAATGGTATATCGCTATATCGAGGTTCCACTGCACCAAGAAACGCTACCACCCACTTGAGTCACTTCCGCGGCTTCATCTTTACAATGCCGGACAGGGTGAGGAATACTTACGCGGAGCTACCTTATCAGCTCATGAATGAGGAAGGGAAGAGGGTGTTGGTGGGGGAGGGGGAATCTTCCTTTACCTTGGTCGGAGACAGTGGCACCAAAGTCCAACCAAATGGTCAGAAGGCGCGGCATTGACTGGTAAATGAACTTGTTACCAAACTGAAGAGACTGACCGTAATGCTTCAGAACGAACGGAATGAAGTCACTGCAAAGAGAATAAATTCGGGGCTGGAGTAAAACGACGGAATTAGAAAATCCCAGTTTCGTGACCATCCAGAGAAACCCTTAAAGTCAGTGTTATTTTAAATTATGGTAAAAAAACGTGAAAACTATTAGGACAAACCGTGTTCAAAAGCCCCAATTGCAATGCGTTTTGGTCTTCATTAATTAACAATTATTCCACGAGTGCGCGTTGGGCATGAGATGGTACAGAACCCGAAGAAATACAGAGGAAAAGTCGTTACATCACGTTGCCATGGTACCACAATTTCTGGAATGTAAATGGCTGTCAAGATCCAGAAATTTGTTTCCACGGTAACGTGACGTCACACTTCTCTTTACTGCTTGCATTGACCATGTGCACAAGTAAGAGAGATAATCGTTGAAAGAAGAGTTCTTACACAGAAAGTTTGCTGGATTTTTCTTCTCCGTCGGTACAGTTTGCCATTAACTTGTCGTAATACTTTCCTAAATAAAAATGACCATTTTCCCAGTTGCTGTGTAGAGTTGTTACTTCCTGTCAGAGAAAAAAACGTAGTGAAATTCTAACTAAAAAGAACAGGACCTAATCAAGGAAGTTTGAACTGATTTTATTATTGAAAGTACAGTTGTACCTTGCCTTTCAACTATCCCGTTGTCACCAACCCTTAATTACGAACTTATATTTCTGGTCCAAACAAGCTCAAACAAACCCTCCAGACTGATCTGCGTACATTTCTTTAAGGAATTTAAAACTAATTTAAATTAACATTTTTATCAGTTCTCATGATCTCTTTTCTCTGCATTACTCATCGATATTCTCAGGAGCCAATTGATGTTGCCACCCTTACGATTTAACACTTTACCAATATCCACATACCAATTCTGATCTCCATACATTTTCTTTAAGAATGTATTCAGAGAATTTGATAAAAGATCAAGGCGTTATTTCTCTTTTTGGTGATCATTTCACTAATTCTCATAACCTTATCTCTTGACAATCTATGGATATCGTTAGGAGAAAATTGATATTGGTCACTATTGGGACTTCAAGGGTTAACAGAGACCTGAGGACGTGATTTGACTCATTATCATGCATCTCGGAAGGCTTCATTTTACTTTTTTCACCAGTAAAGTTAACACGATTATTTTAGTGTAGAATGTTAAGTCCTCTCTCAAACGCAAAATGACAAAACGTTTAACATTTAATAACTTGTTTTCGTCACTAGTCTCCTCGCTAAATCCGGTTGAATAATAGTAAAGGTTATCGAGTTTTCCTGCCAAAATGACGCTTGTTCACTCGCGCGCACTTCTTAGTAAAGGACTCAGTCTCTGGTGTTAACGGCTTGCGAGTCACAGAAGTACTACCTTGTACTGCTGGATGACCCTGTTGGGTTCATAATAAGCTGTTTCTTCCATCCACCTGCCTATAAGAAGCAGTGCCTGAAATCGGAAAAATAAACGAATGTGTAAGGCACTGTTCACACTTGGTCCCCGAGAACCAGTGACTGGGTACCGGCACAAAACTGTGTTGTGTTCACACCTTAAGTACCAGTTATGTAACTCTTAGGTGCTGTCCACATTTGGTGCTTGGGAACCAGTGCCTGGGTACCGGCACCAAATGGTGTTGTGTTCACACTTTGAGTACCTGATATGTGACTGACTGTGTACATAGTTATCCCATTTCGCCCTGTCAGACGCCATTTTGAAACATAAGCTGAGCAGCGAGAACAAAGCAGTGGAATGCCCGGAACTTACAAAAATTGCTGCACACAGGGACCCGGTGTCCACTTTTGTGCCCGAGCACAAGATCGAGACCTTGCACTTGGGCACCGGCACCGTGCCCGAATTCTAGCGTGGGTATGCTTGAAAAAAGAGTGTGTTCACATTGGTGCCCAGTGGGTGCCGTACTTGGACACCGTGACCGGGCACCACGTGTGAACGCTGCCTAAATGAATGAATGTCACAAAAGTATCACAAAAGTCAAAGGTAACTCACCCTAACAAATTTCATAAGCAACTAGCAGCACTTATGAGAAAAAACACAAAATTAAACATACGACGCTTATTACACCTCCTTGGGAAAAAAGGCCGACGAAAATAGTACTCAAAACAATACGAACCTTCGCGTGGATAAATCTCTCTGCACCACCACTACTGGCCATCTTTTTAACACCATCAGGCCATTTTTCACTACAATGAATAAAGAACAAACCAACACGTAACTAAATCACAAAAAAAACACAATACATCACGATAATTGTGACGATCATGATCACGATGATGAAGACGACGATAATCCCTACCTCACTGCTCTTTGTAGACTGATNACACAATACATCACGATAATTGTGACGATCATGATCACGATGATGAAGACGACGATAATCCCTACCTCACTGCTCTTTGTAGACTGATCAGCGCCTGATGAACATCGCCCTGAACGGACAAAACAAACGTGGGCACATAAATAAGGGCAAAGAAATACGCGAGAGGTATAACAAATTGCAAGGTCTGTATGTTTTATACGAGGGTTGATGTGTTTATCCTGTCAACCGAAACTCGCAGTGAGCTTATTATTATTACTGGGTTCATTTTATGATCGTTACCTGACTTGCCATCCATTTAGCTCTTTCAATGCACAGACTTGGTAAGGAGAATGCGCTGGCACTTAGTAGAGAACTATCTGCTGTTTGCACGTGACCTGCCCTGTAGGAAAAAGGAATGACACACAAACTTATTTCAAAGATCGCTCCAAGACGTTTCGGCGTACATTCAGAACAATGGTAAGATCATTCTCCTACCAGAAACATGTACTGAGTCCATTTTTAGCGCGCTAAACAGACTGGGTAAATGGTAAGGCTTTTGCAACAATCAGATAACGGGGACAGCATGAAGAGAAGTGAACATATTTCACTATTCATTTTGCGCACAACTCTACACTATCCTAACATCTGTACCAGGCTACTGAATAATCAGCTCGTCAGACTTGGACTCCAGGAGTCTTACACTGAATCTTAAATAGCTAAATGATATGCCTCCGGTCAGAATTTAAAGCCGGTTAATCTTGTTTTGGGTCAATTCTTGTTGACTTTATTTTTATTATTTTTTTATCTTCCCCGTTCTTTATTTCGCTTAATTACAACATGACTAAAGCGAGTAGACAATACTTACGCCCTGGCCGCTTTGGCGCTCTGTAACCAGCTTTTTCCTTGTTCTTTCTGCAGCTCCTCTGAGCTAGAAATATACCAGGTAAAAGAAGTCTTGTCTTAATTAGGCACTTCCTTCTGCAAACTGATTTCAGTCAAGCTTAACAAATACCTAAATACCGCAATTCCTGTAATGAGCGCCCTGCCCTCAATCAGCACCCCCTCCCCCTTCCTCCAACCCCTGAACAATCAAATAATTTACTAAGCCCCTTTGATTGATACGCCCCCCTCCCCCAAAAAACTGTTATTTGATACGTTACACAAAACATTCACCCTGCTTGTAAACAATATTTTTTTTCGCGTGTTCTTTTGTTGATGTACGGTTGGGTGAAAGACAGGGTTCCCTAAACAGTGATGTTAACATCCTACATTGTGTTTTCTGGGATACCGTGTATGAAATAACGTGAAAAGGGTTTTTTCCTCAGTTTTGAATAACCCTCTTCTCTAATGCGGCTCCTCTCTCATACGGATTAGGGAGATGAAGATAATACACGCAGACAGCGCAGGTGAATGCCAACAATAAAGAAAAACAAACTCAATTACCTTTGTAAGAGTTTCAGAACAATGCGTCTCAAACTCAGGATTGGCTCCCTTGTACGGAAAGATGTCTAAAGAAAGATGACAAACTCCAAGTTTACATCTTTGCACAACTGTATTAGTAAATGGGAAATAGGATACTCGGGGCAAAGAAAAGAAGAAAGAAACAACTCTTAACGAATCCAAACGAGTCATCCAGCATGAGCAATACAAGATACAATCAATTAATCAAAAACTAATACATAATACAAAGCTAAAAAACATGACGTCGTTTTATAAGCTTCACTTAATTATCATCATTTTACAGCCTGATAGATACCTGTTACAGACCGATAACTAGTAAAGCCTGGTTCTCATATGCCGCCGATGTATCTGCGACGTAGCCGTCGGTCCCGTCTGAGCTACTTCCCGGACGAATGAGAACATGCGCCGCCGGCAAATAGAGCCATCACAGAGCTTAACCGCCGGCATGCCGGCGATAAAGACTGGGATAACCAATGTTGTCGGTCACTTCTGTTCTTATATCGGAACAGTATCCCAGACAGTACCGGCGGCCATGTCGCAGGTGCATCGACGGCATATGAGAACCAGGCTTAAGACAACGCAATAACTATAAACTACGCCTCGTGATGACATTATGTTCGAGAATTGTTCTAACCTGTGAGATGTGCAAACGTGACTCCCAGTCTTTAGCCACACCTGTTGTTGTAGGAGCAGCAGCATCTGATACTTGAAACTGCCTCTGTACAGCTTCCTCTAGCTCGCGTAACATGTGAAGCCTTTAGATGAAGATAAAAAGAAAACAAAAAAAAAATAAAATTAGCTTTCAAAATCTAAAAGGATAAATAACAGGGTTGGCTTCATAGAAACACTCGTAATAATCAAATTAAGAATAAGAGACAGGCTTAAAGCAAGAGTTTCATAATCCAACATTGTTGCTCCAACATCACCCAACATTTTTGGTCCAACATCACTCAAAATTGTTGGTCCAACGTTACCCGAGTCAACCCGACAATGCTGGTTCAACATTATCCAACACTTCTTGGTCCCATATTGTGCGCGTTTAAGATCATCTAAAATCGCTTTATTTGTTAATGTTACATCACCTAATGTTATTGATCCAACATTATCAAACATTGGTTGTTCAACTTCATCCAACGACATTGGTCCAACACAATCCAACATTGTTAGCCCGTTCATCACCCAACATTGATTATAATGCTGAATCTGTTTGAACTAAACGCGATACTTTTTACTCAACCAAAGCTGATTAGACAGTCTATATAATCTTGCGGGGAGGAGAGGGTTTGTTGGACATATCGGACCTCTGCCTTGCAACAATATGGCGTCTTAACGGATTGACAGCAGCGTCCAACACAAAAAAAGACAAGCCCCTGCAAAATTATCTTTTGTGTTTTCGCGACGTTTACACTAAAGGGTACCTGACAATATGCTCGTATCCCCGTTGGTAGGAACCAGACTCCATGCTTGCAGCAGACAGGAAGCCCATCTGCTGACTGCGAACAACCTTCAACTGGTGTCGAAATTCAGCCTCATTCTAGGACAAATATCAACAACAGAGGTACTGTTTAAGTATTGACAACGGTTACTATTTGACACTTTAGAAACGAGAAGGAGACTGGGTCGAGTTAATTTTCGCAAAGACTTCTGGGATCGTTACTGGGTACGCGCCGTCCCGAGTAACAGTCCCAGAAGTCTTTGCGAAGTTAACTCGCCCCAGTTTCCTTTTCGTTCTAAAGTGGCGAATGTTCAATGACCAACTACAGTCACTAAGTATAAACGTGAAACAAGAAAGTCCTATTTAGTAGTGGTATCAAAATCGTTGACCATTTGCGTTCAGAAGGGCATTGCCTTGACCCATCCCGTAACGCTGATACTAATATATATAATATACAATCAACGAGATCTAACCTTTTCTTTCACAGCTACCAAAATTCGTCCCAAACCAACATCCCAATCACCAACACCTCTTTCCTATTGACAAAATGGCAAGGAAATAAAAGTTGAGAATTGTAACAACAGTGTGAATTGCAAACTACATTTAATCTGTGCTCTGTTTAAAAAACACGCTGCTTATACCAACAAGCGGAAATTGAGAAGAGGGTTGGGGTTTGGGNCTGAAAAAAAAAAAAATAAACACCGTTTCTGGGGCTTTTTATTTACCATTTGTAAATAAACCTTTACCCACCCCGCTTACCCCCTAAAATTTGCAAAACCATTTTTTTCGATTTTTCGGGGAATTTAAAGTCGTCAAGAAAAATCGAAAAAAATTGTTGGGCATTTTTTTGGGGGGGGGGGGGGTAAACAACAATGGAGGACAAATTTCTTAGGACAATTAATTCGATCTGCCTCAATTTTTCCCTCTTTCCTTCTCTCCCCCAAGCAGTGTCGTAGTTTGTGCACCCCTGTACACTTTATCCTGTCCTAAAAGTGTTTGTTCATCCCAACATAGTTGGAGGGGCGAGGGGAGAGCAATTCGCGGTATCCAAGCGGTTAGAGAAGTGCATATTATGCTACATCTGAATATTTGATAAGTTACGGATGTGGAGGAAGGTTTTCAATAACCGTTCAAAGGATTTTCGTCCTCCATTGAAGGTGCTTTATGGTCTATGTGAAAATGGTGAATAAGCAGGATAATCCCCTAAAAAGGTCCTTTCTTATGTCGTCTTGGTAAAACCTTGTTGCTTTAGCTCTCCGCCAATTAAGAGTGTCCCCTAAGGTTGAAAGGACTATTACCAGCTATATAGACGAGCATGAATCGCTAGGAAGAAAACAAGGTCGTGTTACTAGTCATACCAGTTTCAGGTAACTCTCCAATGAATCCCACTGTCCCAGCCTCCAGGAGGCCTCCACACGGTACGCATTCAACGATCGCTCCCATTCAGATCTAAATGCAACGCAACATTAAAAAGGAGCCAATATTTTCAATCAGAACAATGTATCCAGTGGGTGCAAATATGGTCTATTTCGGTCTGGATACTTAGCTATTAACATTGGATATTTTTGTCGTTCCTCAAAAGTTACGCATGAGTAATAGGGTATTACAATCACCATTATCATTACCATTATCATCATCACTAACATCGTAACGATCATAAAATTGGAAATGATAATTTTATGGGGTCGCAACATTCAACTCACGAAAAAAGAATAAAAAATGTCAATCAACTAAGCGCATAACCTGATTGGTCTCTCACGGTCTTTTAATAAGTTGGACTAGCCACAAGGTTTAATGATAACAAACCTTCGTGTGACTACGCCATCCACATGAATAAGCGCCGTGGTGACTTGACCCAGATCAATGAGACACTGCAACAGACCCTGGTCGTAGAATAACAAAGAGAAATTATCGCCAGTAATAATAAAAGGGCTGACCAGCTTATCTTGTCGTGTCTTCCAGTGAACTAAGTTTTCACATGCTGCCTTTTTCCCATGAGCGAAAAGTTATGAAAATAAAGTATCGGTATTTACGAAGATGACCCTCACCTAAGATTAGGAATCGAATTTAACCCAACGTGGGAGGGAGGGGATGTAGGTACGCTGAAGAGAAATTAGCTTTCAGATAGATTAAACATCTAAGATTGTGAGACCTATTATTTTGTCGAATGACAGCCGGGTTAAGTAACGAAATTTCAAAGAAGGGGTAGTTTGGTTTGGAGTACGATGGTAAGTTTGAAACAAAGGAAAATACAATCAATACCCAGGACAAAATTAGTAATACATAAATTATTTGAAATACAATATAATCATACACAAACTGGCGTTAAGAACCCTAAAAATATTCAACGATTATTGACCAACACTTCTCCGGAACCTCTTCATCTCTTCTGAAACAAAGATTAGGTATCAATGAAGACGAGAACTCCTGTTTGGTTTATAGCTTCACAAAAAGACGCTTTTGTCAACATTAATTTTCCCATAAAAGAACTAACGTTACAACCAGTCACCTTGTGATGTCCAATCTCATTTGGTTCTTCTTGAATTGCTCTTTCGTAACGAGCTGAAGCATCACAGAGTTTTCCTAGAATAAACATAGAATAATAATAATCATCATCATCATCATCATAATAACAATAATGATGATGATGATGATGGTAACAATAATAATTAAGCAATTAGGCGAATTTTAACGAATTAAAAAAGTTAACAATAGAGCTCTAAAAAGATGATGTCATAAAAATTTTGGAATTTGTTGTGATATATTGAAAGAACAACATCTTAAAGGCCTACTTACCAAAAACTAACATTGTTAGGCAAATTGTCTCGGAGATACTAGTCCCGCTTTGTTCTAATGGCTCCATACAAGAACCGAGTCAGATTTAGAAGTATTTGTATGGAGTCATCAGAGCATAACTGGGCAATTAATTGCCCTGGAATGCTAATTTTGGCAAGTAGGCCTTTTAGATGTTGCTCTTTTATAATCGGCGCGATCCATTCAACCAAAATGTCCGGAAATTTTGGTCCAAAACTCAATGGATCGGTTCGGTCCAACCGGAAAAGTTTGGAAAAAACGGGTCCACCTTTTGAGGTGGACCACTTTTCCCGGTCGGACCGGTTGGAATTTTGGTTGAATGGATCCCGCCCAGTATCGCAACAAATCCCATAATTTCACAAACTAGTTTTTTATGATGTCAAATTTTAGGACTCTATGAAAGTAAAAATCAACTAAAACGAAATAGAGTATGACAAAAACGCATGTAATGATTAAAACTTGCCAAAAGGGTTGTTCACTTTATGCCAACAGGGGAAACACTCCTAACGGACACTCTCGTAAGCCGACAGCTCTAATTACGGCCGCCTTCACAAAACCCCATTTTTCTGAACTCTCATACAAACTCTGTATTTCTACATTCCCGTCAGCGACCGCCAGCTCCAGTTACGGGCACCTTTTTCGCGTCCAAAGGATGTCCACTTACGAGAGCTTCCACTGTATTGCAGTCTCATGTTTGTAGTTGCGGGCGACAAGAGGAGCCCGCAATCCTAATGTCCAGGTTGTTACTACGCATGCGTCGCCTGTATGTTGCCAGCATTCGCGCGCGTTTGGACCTTCTATCACACGTAATCTGATCACGCGTGTTTTGACTACTTCTCACGTGAAGCTTACGCAAAGCACACTAGCACAGTGACGGAGCAAAAGCGTTTTGACCTTCGATCGTTATCGCCCCCACTCCGTAACCTTTGGTTATTACAAGTAAATTTTGTATTGTCGGGGCCCAGTTGTTCGAAGGCCGATTAGCGCTTAACCCGGGGTTAAATTTAACCCAGGTTTCTCTTTCTTGTGTTCAAAAGCATTTTCTCGGATAATTTTCTCTGTTATATTTAGAGCTTTCAATCATCAACTTGTGAATTCAAATCGCGCACTAACCCTAGGTTATCTTAACCCGGCTTTGAAAAAACTCGGCCCTGGATATTATGCGTAGAACGCGAGGGGAGATGCAAAGATAACAGGGCGCCAGCCTGAGAAAAAACACTTTGTTCGCAGTCTACAGGAATCTCACAAGTCGGAGAATTATTTGCCATACCTGAACTTTTCTGATCTAGAATCTGTTCATGGAGAGTCGGCTGTCGTTTTCTGCTCGCTGCTACACCAGCCACGCCATCAGGCTCATCTAGAGCTATGTACAACTTCTGAATAAATCCTAGGTGTTGCTGTATATCCTGTTTTTGGCTTGAAACGAAGGCTTCAAAGTGCATCAGGGCTCGAGCATAAGCCTTGCAGTGAAACGACGCGTAAGCCAAGACATCCTAAACGAAAAGAAGATCGCACAGGCAGAAAAAAAAAAAAAAACAAGGAAAATTGGAATCGCAACAAAGGTTATTGGTCACAAAAGAAATCATCTCTCTTTAACTGCAAATGTTTAAAATTAGCGGTGATGTAAACGCATTTCAAATATTTACCTGAGGAATCTTTTCGAGAAAATTTTCTACTGACTTGTGCTCATCCAGAATTTCTTTAGAGGACAAAGAATAGAAATAACAATAATAATTTTAAAGACGATGAGAATGATTATGGTGATAGTGATAGTGTTGGTGTGTTAATACTAATACTGCTTCCGATACAGATACCGATACTGATAATGATGACGATAATGTGATAATGATAATGATAATGACAATGATAATGATAACAATGAGGCTCTGCCAAGTAGTTCGCAATCTTACAAATGGAATATCACTTGGAATTATTAGCAAAAGAGCCTGTCTTTTGGGATCTGCGAGAATTTGAGTAAGGTCTTTGAAGCAAATAACAGCGGATTTCGCGGTGTAAAGAGAAAAGGAACCAAAGACCCCACAGGGGCCTTGAGACTGCGGGAATTAAAACTATAAACGTGTGGTAGTCAAATATGATAGCAAACACTAGAGTAAAGAAGTGTAATGTCACAAAAAACCAAATTGAAATTATTGGATTGATTGGCATATTCACAAAGAACAAGATGAAAAAAGCCCCGTTGTCAAAAATCATTCGGTTAATGCAAATAGGTGGGCAGAAGTAAGCACTGGTTTGTTCAGATGACTGATGTAAATGCCTCCAAAATAGGCCTCGATTCTTCAATACAAGATACATATGGGATAAAAGTGTATTTCTCTGCGAAAGAGTACATAATCGTACCTGATATGGATGCAGCGGCACGTCCCTTTGATGAAAGCAGTTGTGTTTTAACTGCCAGGCTGTGAGCTCTCGCTCTGCTCCAACGCTTCAAATAGTCTAGAGCTGAGAACACCGTCTGGGCGCTCATTTGGCGGAAATCTAGAAACAGATGGGATAATTAGCGAGAAAATTTACCACGGAAAACTATGCACTTGACCTTGTCAGCAGAGTTTACTCCTTTCAATTTGAAATACCTCCGAAAATAAACAATCAAAATATTAAACTAAAATGTTTGAATGGTGGATCTTCCCCAACCCACCCAAAAAAAGTAATCAAAGCCCACAAACAATTCAAAACAAAAACAACACAACCGTGGAAAAGTCTTTAAAATTCGTTGTTGGTGGTGGTGTTGGTGCTATTCACTGCTGTTTTGCACAACCAACAACAGCAAAGCCACTAGGTTTCTTTTTAGGAAAAAAAAGGTGCTTAGCTTACCAGATGATGGTGCTGGTAGTTCTTCATTCCTTTGAAGGTGAGTAAGAACGGCCATAATTTCCACGTACACCTGGTAACGACAGGTAAAGAACACGCATATTACGTATACTGTTAAAGAAGCGCCGCTCTTTTTGCGAGAAACCAACAAGGAGGTATCTCTTGGAAGTATTGGAGTACTTGAAAACGTTCAGTCACAACCACTGGGAAAGAGGCAGGAATTACAGTTTACTTGTTCAACTTTCACTGTTAGGATGCCACTGGGTGCTTTTAAGCAAAAAACCCGAACTTTTCCTTTGACCTCCCGAGCTCATTGATGATCCCAACCCCATTTTACTTGTAACCTATAGCCTATTATCAGAGAGCTTTAGATTCTAGGACGAGTACGACTACAAGTACGAGATTTTCCCAATACAAAGTAGTATGCGCGTGCGAACCAACGTCATTTTGGCGGGAATGTCGTAGTGGCGAAAACAAGTTATCAAATGTTAGGATTTTAGGTTTATCATTTAGCGATCGGGAGAGGGCTTAGCCTCCTTCAAAGGAAATAAACGAACTAACTTTTGCGGTGAATAAAGTAGAATGATGCTTTCCGGGATGTCAATTTTTCATTTTTCTTTCCCCACATCTTTATTGAGTACTCCTCTTGAAATATACAATATAAATTAATAATACAACACAAAAAAAAACACACACACACACACACACACAAAAAGAGAAGCAAAAACCCAGAAGGGGTAGGTGCAACGGGACTAACGTCCCCTTGCGAGGCACCGCCCCTAAAAGCGAGAGAATAGGCGAGAAAACTTAAATTTAAATGTCGTCTTCGTAGTCGTCCTCGTCTTCGAATCTAAAGCTCTCTAATAGCTATTTTATAATCACCATCAAAACATTTCGCACATCAAGTGAAAGTCTATAGCCTACCTCCTCTGAGTCTTCTTGTGTCCCATCCAGCAGCACATACAGTAATACATGAGGCAGCAAAAACAGGGCGGTTTTCACATAATGCTTAAATCAAAATTTCACATAAAATAAGCAAATACAAAAATACAAAAAAAAAAAATGAATAAAAATACAGACTGATTAGGTGGCAGGTCACACTAATGACATTTTCAATACACTTTGAACTTGGTATATGGTACACATCTGACTCTCTACAACATAAACATCATCATCGTCAACACGTTCACTCAGTAATACGGACGTGGACTTACCTTGAAAATCTTACTGCAAGCTTGAAACATATGCGATGGTTTTTGCCTTTTAACCTGAAGAAAATATACTAACCATGAAGGAAACGAGTTTTGAGGAGGTTGATACAACTCATCTTTAAACACGATGATTTTAAAACCATGGAAGAAATTCAGATAAGTAAATACAACTCCCAGCAAGTATCATGTTTTACACTTGAGTTTCAAACATCCGTGCCATCTGAGGGGCCCGAGGGGCTTATTTTTGGAGGGGCTTATATTCGGAGGAGCTTATCTATGGAGGGAAATTTGCGTTTCAAAATCGATTGGGCTAGCCTTATAGTTGGAATGAAATTTACTGTTTTTGCTTTGCTTTCCTTTGTATTTGAGGGCAATTTCCAAGTACAAGTCCCTGGGGGCTTATATTTGGATGGGGCGATTTAACGGCGGTTTTTTTGCGTTACGAGTTTGGGGGGCTTATATTTGTAGGGGCTTATACATTGAGGGGCTTATTTTCGGAATTTTACGGTATGTCACAAAATAAGGAGGCCAAATACACGGGGCACAAATTTGGCTAAATTGCATGTCATATATCGCTCCTTTAGTTTGTCACAGCATACCTTGGTGATCAAGTAGGAAGTCCAGGTGCTGACCCACTCATTAAAAACTCTGCCCTTGTCACTTCTGTAGATTGGCCTCGGAAGGCGAGACCAGTTGGGAGTGGTGGAACTTAAGTACCTGTTTAAAAATAGGAAACAGCACATTCCACAATTATGAAAACACTGGTTTGAACACCTCTTTGTATTTCATACATGAGAAACACTCTTCTAAAAGGATAGCCATTGTGGTTACCGATCGGTGGAAACAGCGGTGATTTATCCTTTGAGTATGTAAGGTCATTCTTCAAGACGTGATTTGAGGATTTTAATTCGCTACACCGATTCTTCAAAGAGCCTATATGCGATATATGAAATGATGCAACCAGCAACTCTGATTGACAAAAGAGTAAACCGTACAGTTAAGCTGAGGTCGGAAAGGAGAAATTCTAAAAAAGAAAGAGTCTACTTTTCTTACTTTGAATAAAGATGAGGTCTGAGCAGTTCTTGAATGTGTTCAGGAAATTTAGCCCACAAAGCATAGCCAGACCTTCATTGGTAAATATAAACACAACAATAATAAAATTGTCAAGAAATGAATCGACATAACAAAGGAAGTTTTTAATTCATTAACAATATTTGAAGTACTTACACTTTGGTTTAAGGTCTAGTTGTGCAAATCCAGTAACCGATTTAACACCTTTCACGGGGAAATATTTAGTCACGGCAAGAGGCTTCATTAACAACGGTTTCAAAACTAACTTCCACGATTAACCATCAAACCTTTTAACACCGTTATCTTGAAAACTGAGTGTCAGGACTAGGGAATAACCACTCAAAAGCCCTCGTTCGATATATTACAATCCTAACATGACTCAGAGGCTTTCTGTTCATTTTTCTTTATTTGGTTTGGTTTTCTTTGTGCTCAAGCCTCTTCTTGGAATTGCAAGACAATGGAATCGTGAAAAATTTGCAATTCTTACCCCAAAGCGTCGGAGTCATGTTAGAATTTTAATAGTGTATTCGAACGTGGGCTATTTTTACGTAGAGAGCTCTTTTAGAGTGTACCAAATGGATTAAAAATAGTCACAAATCTATTGCTTACATACTCAGCGTTTAAAGAAAGTCATGTCCGATAGCCCAGGGCTAGTGGATTTTGCTATCGGACTAGTGAACTCAGGTTCTCAAGTGAATTGTTTTGAGGAATTCAACTTACAGAAGAACTGTGAAATCAATTCTGCTCATCAAAAGAATTTGGGGGCTAGCTGAAATGACGTTTAGGTTAGTAAATGCTAACTTCAGCTTGCCCGAATGGCAAGCTGTAAAACTGACTTTCTTTGCACCCTACATACCCATCTTTCTTGGATTCACTGCACTCGTATGTGAGGAGTACTTCTTGGATGGCATAAGCTGAACAGTCCTAAAAAGTGAAAAAAAAAAATCAAGAGCCCTTGAAATAACTGAACTGAACACATAAAACATAAAAGCTGATCATAAACAATCAAAACGTGAAGGCAAAGAAAACTATATGTCTTTGAAGTTTTTAGGTGTAAGTGACTGTTCGTTGTTTGTAACCTAATTTAAATAACCTTAAAAACAAACAAACAAACAAACATCAGCGACATGTTTAGTCTGCCCCAAACATTAACGGGACTGAAAACTCCTTACTGATACAGGTACGTCTTCAATTGTGAGTCTAAAACCACACTAACCACGTAGGATTGGGGATACGTATGTTCCATGGAGACAGCCCTTTATTTCCTGCCATCAAACACACCTTCTCTAGAAATTAATAGCCATTCTAGAGGACAAGAGACCAATTATAAAGGACGTGTTTGGGATTTTTCTTTCATAAAGCGAGGAAATAAACTTTCTTTTTGAGAGAACATAAGTCTGACTGCAATACCTGTGCTCTTGTATCATGGGCAGCAAGAAATGCTTGAACAAGCTGATTTATAAGCTCCACAGCAAAGTCCGTGTCGTCACATCCACTCTACAATCAGTAGAACCACAACAATATCAATAAAATGCACATTATTAGCAACAGACAACAAATCACCATCTTAAGTCATCCGACGTCTTGCTTGCCTAACATTGTGACCCACAAACAACATTTAGCTACTTGTTCTGTAGACAGTGTTACCTCAAAAACAGCTTGTTCATCCACTGGATCATGTGTCAACTTATCCAACCTATAAGAGGACAATGAGGCCCAGTGATTAGTAAACCAGACCCAAAATCAGATGTTGAAACGTTTCGAGTTTAAGTATCACTGACCATACGCTGAAGCACCGCTTTTAATTCCTGCGGCCAAGAAGTCAGCCAAGTCGGCCAAGTAGCCAAGCAGTTTTTTTCGATGATGATTTTTTTTTTACCCAGCCACGTGTACAAGCACTTCGCACTGAGCAAACTCAACAAGATGCAATATGATTATTCAGCTGCTAACTCAAACTCAGTGTGAAACTAAGACTCGAGCTCGAACGCCAATACCAGCTCCACTTGAAACTTAAACTCGAAATCAAACCACTCAAACTTAAACTTCAACGCAAGGTCCCCTATTAGAAATCAAACCCAAACTGAAATTCAATCACGCTAAAGCGCCCACTCGACCTCAAATTCGAACTCAAACTCAAACTTGCTTAAACTCAACTTAAAACACGAATTAGAAAACAAAGCAAGCTGGAAATCACACTCAAACTAAGACACATTTAGTGCTGCGATATGAAACAAAAACAATACAGGGAATAATAAAACACTTGGTAGAACTGGGACCACAAATTTGGAAGACTGGAGGAACTCAATCCTCACGTTAATAACTGCGTTGCTTAGTGGAGGTGGGTGCTAGGGATGTACAGGGGCTTCCACTTTTGGCAAAGCCAGCCCCTAATGAGACAGAGTTACGCCCCCATGGCTGATAAACCGTGTCTTCCAGCCACGAACCCCCAAGGCAGTGGCACCAGGCACTTATCACACTGATTTATCAGTGGAAAGATATAGGAGGGAGGGGTGGGGGTAAAAGAATGATCCAAAAGCTAAATGAAGAGAGAGACCGCCAGAAAACGCTGTTCTTAGCTCATGGAGCTGATGCAAGCAAGGCTTACCGCGCTTGAGACACCTACTGACCGCTGACCTACAACACGCGCCTGCGCTCCTAGTTGTCAACTGCGTAAAAATTTCATTTAACTTCATTTAACCATTTATCCTATGAATTTCCTCTCCCTCCAGAAAGCGAACAACTTCAATACAATGACTGCAGTGGTAAATAAAAATAAAAGCGCATGACGCAAGACTCACCTGCCAGGATCAACTGCACCCAGTTCTCCAAGACATTCAGCGACGAGAACCTTGGCTTCAGAATCATTTTTATGACAGCTGGACATTAACTATGGAAAGCAACAAATATTCAAAGAAAATAACTAGAGAGCTTTAGATTTGAGGACGAGAACGGACTAAGAGTACGAGATTTTCTCAATACCAACTAGTGCTTGCGCGAGAACCAGGGTCATTTTGGCGGGAACACGGGATAGCCGTCGTCATTCTACTAAGAGTTTTAGCGAGAATGTAGTAGTGGCGGTAACAAGTTATCAAATGTAAGAAGTTTTATTATTTTTCGATCAGGAGAGGGCTTAACCTCCTTCAGTATAAATAACCGTACTAACCTTTCTAGTGAAAAATAGTAAAATGAAGCTTTCCGGGGTGTATTCTTTTTAGAACACGCGCAAAAATTTTAAGTTTAATCTCGTACTCGTACTCGTTTTCGTCCTTAAATCTAAAGCTCTCTACTAACAATCGAAAGACAACCACTTTCTGAGATGACGCATTTTAACAAACCAATTACGAGAACGAGTACGAGTACGAGATTTAACTTATAGTTTTTGTAAGTGTTCTAAAAAATTTCACCAAAAAAGTTAGTACGGTTATTTATATTGAAGGACAGGTTAAACCCTCTCCCTACAGCAAAAAGATAAAACTTCTTACATTTGATAAATTGTTCCCGCCACTGCGACATTCTGGCTAAAACTCGTAGTACAATGACGACGGCTAAACCTACTTTTTCCGCTAAAATGACACTGTTTTACGCGTGAGCAATACTTAGTATTGGGAAAATCTCGCACTCGTAGTCGCCCTCGTCTCAGAATCTAAAGCTCTCTAGTAGTCCTGGGAAACGGTATCCTAGCGACATACAGCGCAGCTCATCAAATAACTTAATCGAATTATGCAGAGTCTTTCTCCAGAGCGCCAAAATCGAGTAAGTTTAAAAAAAAGGCTCTTCTGGCAGGGTACAGCAAAACAAAAATAAGCAAGCAAGACTTACCACGCTTATAAGTTGCGGTATAATAGGGTCAACCGTTTCATTGCTAAGGACATAACCATGCAGGGTTGCCTGAGAACAAAAAAAGAAATATCCAGAAATTCGTTTACGTACAACAAGTCAATATATCATTGAAATTAAACTACCCTGTCTTTAGAATCCACTAACAAACACTTTCCACCGAAAATATAATTCAGCTTCGCTGAGGAAATTATGCCCCAGTCGTCGTGTCAACAGGAGAGCAGTAAATTTCTCAGAAAAAGAAGATCTCTATATGGAAGATCAGTTCAGCCAAGTAAACACAGGAATGATCGAGCTGAAAGCTTGTGATGCAGTTGAATTAAACAGCGTTTGAACATTTCTGGCGTTGATTTGGTACAAGTCCCGAAATAAAAATAAACTTACCGAAATATAATTACAGCCAATCGACCGGCAATTTACAAACACTGCACAAGTGACCCAAAACATAGTGGAGAAGTTTTCCATCACGTTTGAGGCAAACCACAAATATCCGATCTAATTCGGCAGTTTCTCAAAGTAGGACTTGAGCTTCTATGGATGAAACTGCAACTAGTTGCTAAAAATAATCCTTGAGACACTGTACCTTATTTGGGTCCATTTGGTTTTAATATGCCTCCCCCCCCCCCCCCCCCCCCCCCCTCGCCCTCTCCAAAAAAAAAGGGGGGGGGGGGGGGGGGGGGGCTTTTTTTGGGGTAGGGGGTGTCTGACAATTATTTTAATAAAGAAAGAGGGGTCTCGCTCGGATTNGATTATTTTTGTGTACATATAATGAACGGTCGACGACCAATAACGGGAAAACTTGGTCACGTGGAACAAAATGACGTTTGCCGTTTTTTTGTAAACGTCATTCTGAGTCCTCATTACAACTTTTGCCTTTTAATTGGTTCATTACTCGTCTTTATGTGCCAATTTTTGTAGTTTATATTACATAAACATAACACATACAAGCGGACTGAACTGGATATCCTATTTTAAATACCTGGTTATCATGAAGTAATTGCTTTAGTTTTGTTAACGCGTGTTTCTGGACATCTGCACTTTCATTACCAACACCTTTGAGAGACTGTCGAAGCTGGGCTTGCAAATCCATGTTCCTGGAAGACTTTCCACTGCACGATCTTAGCACAGCACTTACTCTACGAAGCTCGGGAATATCGGGTAGGAAATATATCTCATGAAAATAATCTTGCAAGAAAGTCTTGTTTTCAACAATCAGAAAATGAAATATCTGGGTTACTCTGGCTGGAAGTTTGTTCAGGTAGGGCAAAAGGGTGACGACAATTTGACTCAACATAGGTCCTAGATTTGAAAGCTTGACATTTCGCACAAAGCTTTCCCAAGCATCACATGTCAACTCGGGAAATCCCTTGTCCTGGAATCTGAGGCAGAGTCGAAGAATGCCCATGATTTTCACACGCACAGTGGTGATGTACTTTGGACCCATGATCTGCATCAGCTTAGTAAGACTTTCTAGAGCTAATTTCTTTTCTTCCAAGTCAGTGTTGGTAAGAAGCACAGTGTTGTAGAAGGCAAGGATGCCAAGCAGTCTTGATTGAAGGAAATTGGCCTGTAAGCACAAGAGATAACATTCAAACCCCTGGGCCCAGCTGTTCAAAGACCGATTAGTGCTAACCTGTTGTTAAATTTTAATCTGGGTTTCTTTTTCTCTTGCTCAAACGCATATTCTTGGATAATTTTCTGTAATTCTTTGCTGAGCATTCAATGAACAAATTGTAGACAAAAAGGATTAATTTGAATTTGCTTTTTAAGCTTTCATATCTGAACTTCAAATTTTGCACTAACCCTGCCTTATCTTAATCCAGCTTTGAACAATCCAGGGAATTATAATGTAAGGAGTGGCCTGCGCAAAACATTCACAATTTCAACGACAGAAAACAATTTATGACACCGATTACACAAATGAGACTAAATGCTTTTCAATCTTTGCCCAAAACATCTCAATGCTAAAATAAATTACCCTAGTCTTCACAGCTCTTTGAACATTTTTTTTCCAATCCTTCAATATTAATGGTTGTTGTATGGTTAAACAAAAAATTAGAAGAAATATAGAAAAGATGTTCTGGCAAATCTCAAGATAAACCAGCGGAAATGGCTGTAAAAAAAAAAAGAAGGAAAAGAATAAAAAACTGAATTTTTTTAGGCTTTCTTTTTGCAACTGCAAACGTTGCGTCTATGAATACGATTAACTTCTTTCATTTAATTTTTCACACCGCACTTTCTATATATGAGATCATATATTCCCTTTTTTTTTTGTCCTTTTTTTTTTGCCATCCTTCTATGAGATTATAACAAGCCATGGCTCTATTAGTTGAGCGCTGCACCAGTATCGCACAGGTCCGGGTCTGAATCCAGACAACCTTTCTTTTCAGGCTTTCTTTTGGCAACCGCAAAAGTTGCGTTTATAACAGCTCACCAGATGTTGAGTGGTTTTGAGATCTTTAGGCCCAGTGTATGTGTCATCCTTTAAAGCCAGCATTGCCAGTCCACTAAATACTTTGTCATAGCTGACACTCAAGTACAGCAATAACTGATTGTAAACACTTAGAGCTTCAGATCGTAGTAAGCTTCCAAGTTCCACATCTGTCTCTTTCTGAAACGCAATGATAATTATCATCTCTAAACCATACCTTTCCCTACCAAACAGCAAAACGTGTACACACAGGAGTACACAGAGTTCACAACTGCGTCGCTTAGTGGAGGTGGGTGCCCGAGCTGTCCGGACGGGAGCTTCCACTTTTGGCAAAGCCAGCCCCTAGATAGACTTACGCCCCCATGGCTGGTAAGCCCGCGCCTTCCAGCCATGAGCTCCTACGCCAATGGAACCAGGCACCTATCACACTGATCGCTCAGCAAATTCTTATCATTTGATTTCTCCTATCTTTAGAACGGAGTCCGGGTAACGTGCGAATGTAGTACTATACGTTTTTCAGAGTATACTATACGTTTTTCAGAGTAGTAAACGGTAGAGATAAAATTAATGCGTACCTGCACGTATCCAAGAGCTTTCTCCAGCTCGGGGGGTGAACAAGTCCTCACAAGAAATGAAAATATGAACTTAAAATTCTCTAGCAGCATCTCTCGTCTGTTCATCTTCAACTCCTTGGCAATATGCCTCAAGATTGCCGAAGATGAAGTCGAAGCTTTCTTGACAAGATAAGGGATGACAAAATGCAGCGTACTCTGTGGACGAAAACCCAGATTTCTTAGCAAAAAACATTATCGAGACAGCAAAAGAAATGCGATGATATGCACAAAAACCATCATACAATAGCCGCACAATGATACGTTTTGAGGATCTTGATGGAACTTTTTCACTTTGACAAACAGAAGACAACGAGACAGAAAATTGAACATTTCAAAATGAAAACGTCCTTATCACCAATAATTAAACAGTTTGGGAGATTACTGAGTAAAACAATAATGGAACTTGCAGTAAATGTTTTACAAGAAAGAAAGAAAAACGAAACAAACCCAGTTCAAACCAGATTTAGCACGTAACCTTGGGTTCTTACCATTACGACACTCGTGGAAATATATCTTGTGCTCTTTTCATTAAACACACAACTATAAAATTTGACCAGTTGGCAAAACGGCCTGCTATAAATATATATAAATCAGCTGAACAGACTTCGAAGAGCGGAAAATTGCATTGCCTCAAATCACTGCCCCCTAATTCTCAATCTTCCCAAACGAAACGGCGCGAGCCAACTGATTTTTCAAACGGGACTTTCCGGTTTTTCCATGTAAATGAAAAGTACCCCTACGGGTCATTGCACAGGGTACCCAGATTCACCACAGCCTAATGGCAGCCACATTATAAGGATTTGTATTGGAATTTATCGTAAGATCGATAAAACGGTTGCAATGGACATAAACAGCTATTAAAGTATACATACCTCAAAAAGAGTTGTGTCTGTGTTGTTTTCTTACTATTTCCTGCCCTATAAAAGCCATTTTAGCAAGTTTTAATGCTTTGCGGGTTTCTCACTTAGTAGGTATAATTTGGCTTCCCGTAGGTTGTTGTGAATCTGGGTATCCTGTGGTCATTGGGACTCAGTTATCACAACGTCAGAAAGAAAGTAATTTTCTACCTTCAAAAACGACTGAAAATCCCTAAATTCAAACACAACGGCAACCTCTGACACAATATCCAAGGAAACTTTAGAAGTAGGGTTCTGTCTCTGTGTATCATCAACTGCGTCTACGACAAAATTGCATATCTGCTGCTTGAATCTCGAGAACAAATCCTTCAATGTCTTCCTCTGGAACTTAGCCACCTCTTGGACCTAAAATACAAAACAGTCGGTCCTCTTTAGGGAAAACATACTTGTACAAACCACTTTTGCTAATGTTACTGCCATAACTTCACCGAAGCAATGCATGCTGTATCGTTCGTACGATAATTGACGTGCCCAAGGTAGATTGTACTCATCCGCAATATAATAGTCCTTGGTATTAAAATTTATGACAGGCATTAGGACGGCAGACGAAAGAAGACGGCAAACCTTATGCGACAAGCGTGACAAAAATTACGTTTAAAAACATTTTCCACCAAACTTCACCTTCCTTTCAACAGATCTTTTGTAAAGGACCTTAATTCAGTACCGCCAAGTGTCACGTTTGAATGTCACACACAGACGTTTTTTCGTCCTCTTCTTTCTGCCGTCCTGTTGCGTAAACTTACTATGAACTTTGGCTAGACAACATCTCCGATCACAGTTAAGATTTCTTCAGACATGGGCCAAGTTTGGTCAGACAATCTCCGATAACCGCCTTATAATTGAAGTTCTGCAGTTGGCGAGGGGGCGCAAGTAAATCGTTTTGCTAGCAGTTAACCAATTTCCAGAGCTAACCTTAACTACTTGGCGACACTGCTATTGTGTCAGATTATTATATAAATGTCATAACATCCGGGCTTTGCCATACCTGTTTGAAGGCAACAGCCCTTATGAGTTGCGAGTGCGCAGTTAAACTTTCCAGCAAGCTGACAATCACAACCAATAGCAATTCTCCCTCAGCAATTCTTCCCAATTGTCCTATTGTTAACACAACTGTTTCCTGCAGGCTGCAGTTTCCTTGCGATGAGGCCTTAACAAACACTTTCTTTAACTTGGAAATGACAGTTTTTTGCATGTTATTGTTTGAATCTGATCCTGCGGGCTTGACTATATAAGGAGCTACAGTGCTGTACAAAGAGCAAACAATATATATTTACTAAGTGGAATTTTCAAAAATCGTCATTTGCATCAAAAGAAAACGCGGCTTCTAGTATTTGAGGATAACAATATAAATTTGAAGAGCATACTCTATTTCAAAAGGGAACAAAGAGGTTGCCTTTCCTTTAGTCTAGTCCTCATACAACTTTCTTAGCAACTCCCCACATGAGTAAATACGACCAATTTCGACGTATAGGCCTTCCACGCTCTTTTAAACTTTTGTAAATCCATTGACACTACTGGAAAGAGCGCCTCAAAATCGGTAAAGCTGCCAAGTATGAGAGAGACATTTTTTTTTATTGAAATGAAGATATATTCCCGCTATGTTGCAAGGTTTTACAGACGTTTGTAATGAGGATGGGAGTGGCACAAAATGCGTACCTCACACTTACTACCAATACAACCAATCTTCTGGAAAAATTTCGCAAATGTTTAAAGCCATTTCGTACTTCGTTTCTAACACTTCTCACCTAAACGCCATCCTGACCTCAAACTCCGGGTCCTCGATAAGATCAAAACATGTTGCACTAACAATGGAACTATGAGCTGCAGAGTCGGCAGTAAATGTCATGTGAGTAAAAATTCTTTTCATACTCTTGACGAAAGCACATTTGATGGAAGAGCCCACATCGGGTGCTAAAAGTTGTAGGTACGGGGTGAATATGGAGGCATTCACTATGGCATGTGTCTCACAAGAAATGAAAATATGAACTTAAAATTCTCTAGCAGCATCTCTCGTCTGTTCATCTTCAACTCCTTGGCAATATGCCTCAAGATTGCCGAAGATGAAGTCGAAGCTTTCTTGACAAGATAAGGGATGACAAAATGCAGCGTACTCTGTGGACGAAAACCCAGATTTCTTAGCAAAAAACATTATCGAGACAGCAAAAGAAATGCGATGATATGCACAAAAACCATCATACAATAGCCGCACAATGATACGTTTTGAGGATCTTGATGGAACTTTTTCACTTTGACAAACAGAAGACAACGAGACAGAAAATTGAACATTTCAAAATGAAAACGTCCTTATCACCAATAATTAAACAGTTTGGGAGATTACTGAGTAAAACAATAATGGAACTTGCAGTAAATGTTTTACAAGAAAGAAAGAAAAACGAAACAAACCCAGTTCAAACCAGATTTAGCACGTAACCTTGGGTTCTTACCATTACGACACTCGTGGAAATATATCTTGTGCTCTTTTCATTAAACACACAACTATAAAATTTGACCAGTTGGCAAAACGGCCTGCTATAAATATATATAAATCAGCTGAACAGACTTCGAAGAGCGGAAAATTGCATTGCCTCAAATCACTGCCCCCTAATTCTCAATCTTCCCAAACGAAACGGCGCGAGCCAACTGATTTTTCAAACGGGACTTTCCGGTTTTTCCATGTAAATGAAAAGTACCCCTACGGGTCATTGCACAGGGTACCCAGATTCACCACAGCCTAATGGCAGCCACATTATAAGGATTTGTATTGGAATTTATCGTAAGATCGATAAAACGGTTGCAATGGACATAAACAGCTATTAAAGTATACATACCTCAAAAAGAGTTGTGTCTGTGTTGTTTTCTTACTATTTCCTGCCCTATAAAAGCCATTTTAGCAAGTTTTAATGCTTTGCGGGTTTCTCACTTAGTAGGTATAATTTGGCTTCCCGTAGGTTGTTGTGAATCTGGGTATCCTGTGGTCATTGGGACTCAGTTATCACAACGTCAGAAAGAAAGTAATTTTCTACCTTCAAAAACGACTGAAAATCCCTAAATTCAAACACAACGGCAACCTCTGACACAATATCCAAGGAAACTTTAGAAGTAGGGTTCTGTCTCTGTGTATCATCAACTGCGTCTACGACAAAATTGCATATCTGCTGCTTGAATCTCGAGAACAAATCCTTCAATGTCTTCCTCTGGAACTTAGCCACCTCTTGGACCTAAAATACAAAACAGTCGGTCCTCTTTAGGGAAAACATACTTGTACAAACCACTTTTGCTAATGTTACTGCCATAACTTCACCGAAGCAATGCATGCTGTATCGTTCGTACGATAATTGACGTGCCCAAGGTAGATTGTACTCATCCGCAATATAATAGTCCTTGGTATTAAAATTTATGACAGGCATTAGGACGGCAGACGAAAGAAGACGGCAAACCTTATGCGACAAGCGTGACAAAAATTACGTTTAAAAACATTTTCCACCAAACTTCACCTTCCTTTCAACAGATCTTTTGTAAAGGACCTTAATTCAGTACCGCCAAGTGTCACGTTTGAATGTCACACACAGACGTTTTTTCGTCCTCTTCTTTCTGCCGTCCTGTTGCGTAAACTTACTATGAACTTTGGCTAGACAACATCTCCGATCACAGTTAAGATTTCTTCAGACATGGGCCAAGTTTGGTCAGACAATCTCCGATAACCGCCTTATAATTGAAGTTCTGCAGTTGGCGAGGGGGCGCAAGTAAATCGTTTTGCTAGCAGTTAACCAATTTCCAGAGCTAACCTTAACTACTTGGCGACACTGCTATTGTGTCAGATTATTATATAAATGTCATAACATCCGGGCTTTGCCATACCTGTTTGAAGGCAACAGCCCTTATGAGTTGCGAGTGCGCAGTTAAACTTTCCAGCAAGCTGACAATCACAACCAATAGCAATTCTCCCTCAGCAATTCTTCCCAATTGTCCTATTGTTAACACAACTGTTTCCTGCAGGCTGCAGTTTCCTTGCGATGAGGCCTTAACAAACACTTTCTTTAACTTGGAAATGACAGTTTTTTGCATGTTATTGTTTGAATCTGATCCTGCGGGCTTGACTATATAAGGAGCTACAGTGCTGTACAAAGAGCAAACAATATATATTTACTAAGTGGAATTTTCAAAAATCGTCATTTGCATCAAAAGAAAACGCGGCTTCTAGTATTTGAGGATAACAATATAAATTTGAAGAGCATACTCTATTTCAAAAGGGAACAAAGAGGTTGCCTTTCCTTTAGTCTAGTCCTCATACAACTTTCTTAGCAACTCCCCACATGAGTAAATACGACCAATTTCGACGTATAGGCCTTCCACGCTCTTTTAAACTTTTGTAAATCCATTGACACTACTGGAAAGAGCGCCTCAAAATCGGTAAAGCTGCCAAGTATGAGAGAGACATTTTTTTTTATTGAAATGAAGATATATTCCCGCTATGTTGCAAGGTTTTACAGACGTTTGTAATGAGGATGGGAGTGGCACAAAATGCGTACCTCACACTTACTACCAATACAACCAATCTTCTGGAAAAATTTCGCAAATGTTTAAAGCCATTTCGTACTTCGTTTCTAACACTTCTCACCTAAACGCCATCCTGACCTCAAACTCCGGGTCCTCGATAAGATCAAAACATGTTGCACTAACAATGGAACTATGAGCTGCAGAGTCGGCAGTAAATGTCATGTGAGTAAAAATTCTTTTCATACTCTTGACGAAAGCACATTTGATGGAAGAGCCCACATCGGGTGCTAAAAGTTGTAGGTACGGGGTGAATATGGAGGCATTCACTATGGCATGTGATTTGTTGTCATCGTTGTCATCTAGGAGTATTAAAAGTACCACAAGTTAGAAAAACTACTCCTACTACTATGCGTTATTAGGGAGCTTCAGCGACGGCGACGGCGACGGCTACGGAAACGTCACTTACAAAGTAAATTCGCGCTTCCTCAAACTTTATCGCGCTTATTCAAGCTCGAGTTGGCACAGTTCTACAATACATGTACAAGTCAAAAGTAAATACGCTACCTCTTTTCTTAATGATTTCTGAGTCGCAATCAGGGCAGAGGAAAGTGATACTGTTACAGACAGCGTCATCAAAAGAAAGGTCATTATTCATCTTCCTTATCACTGTATTATCAGTAAGTACGCATGCTAAAGGTCCAATAATTTTAGCAATTTCCTCTTGAATAGCACCACTAGCACTCATAACTCCCGGAAGGATGTCAGTCATCAGATGAAATGAGAAGGAACCGAGAGAAGACAAAAGAAGGGGAAGCCACTTCAAAGCCAAAGTCTTAATGTCAGGTGAAGCGTCTTTCTGTTATATGAATGAGACAGACTTGTGAGAAACAAGGGTACAACTAAACATTAACCCCTCTTTACGAACCCCTCATCACGGAGTTTGAATTGTCCCTGGGGAAAGAAAGCCCGCTTATACGAACACCCCGTTAATACAGTCACTTTCTATGGCCCCCTCAGTGTCCATATTACCAGTGTTTGACTGTAGTTACCAATTACATGGAAAAATACCGAAATTTCGGTTGGAAAAAACAAATTTCTTCGGGCCATTCTGCTTGGGAAGCTTCAGAGAATGATTTATGTGCTGTAATTTGAGGCGACGCAATTAAATTTTTCAACCTTTTTTAGTCCGTTCAGCTGATTTAGATAGAATTAGTAGCAGGTCGTTCTCCGACCACGTCAAACTTTTAAAGTTTTATGACCATGTACAAGGTATCCACCCGGTTGGCCTTTAAAATTTGAGAGCACCTCGTAAGCACCCACGGTTATGTGCGGTCGTTAGAGAGGTTAAGCTTCACGATGACGTCAAACGGCAAAAGGGAATTTGTACCACGTGACCAAGTGTCCCCTTACCTGTCGTTTATTGTTCATTATTTCTACACATAAATTAATAGTTTTACGCAATCTTTTATCCGTAAGAAATGTTTTGAACCGTTTTTATCTCATTTTCTATTTTGAGAAATTCTCAACTTGAATCTGACGTTTGCCGTTTGCCGTTTACGTGAAGCTTAAACTCTCTGTTGCGGTTCAAGCGTCCGACAAAAACTTTCAGGTCCACTCCTTTTAAGTTTAATTTATACCAGGCAGCGCAGTCGCTCTAGGAGAATAGTCGTCCAGAGTGACGCAGGGCTCCAAAAAGTTCCGTCTGGTCGTCCGGGACAAGTAGATTTCCTTGCAGGGCAAGTAACTGTTAACCTTACTTGTCCAATGCGCAGGGTTCTACGCAAGTCATCTGGTGACGAAATCATTAGCTAGGACAAGCAAGCAATGGCCCTGGCGGACAAGCAAAACGTTAAAATGTGAGAGCTTTCAAGCGTTTTTTACGAGTCCTGGTGACGGAGGTTAGGTAATCAGATCTTACTAACCTAAGATTACGCGAATTGTTGGTCATGAAAAGATATATTATATCCGATATCCAGACACCTAAAAGTAACTCACAAAAGCTCGACCAAGTCTCATTTTCTTAAGTTACTTTTGCCCCATGTAAGGCTATCCTCTGTTTCCGGAATTCGGGAAAAATTTTACCAGTGGATCCATATATCCGGGATGGAATCGAAAATTCAGCTCAAGGAATCCGGAATCCCGCTAATTATTGAAATCGGAAACAAGAAATGTGGAATCTTGTGCCTGGAATCCGAAATACACATCGTGGAATCCAGAATCTAAGACTGTCTTGGATTACCTTACACAGGGCAACCACTTTTTGATGTCTAGATATTGGATGAACGTCCTGTGCCTCGTGTTAAAGGTATTAGTACGTAAGTGTATTACCAAGACTAAGAGAAATACTTGAGTTCTCCATGTGGGCGCAGCATCTGATGGAAAAACTGCAAGTAAGTGAAGACACATATCCATGTTTTCTTTGGTGATTAAAGGACCAAGTCTTAGGCCAAATCTGGCCAGTGCGTCGACAGACAGGCCAAACTTGTGAGGCAGGTCATTCCACGAAGAATCTCCTTTCGATAACCAAGGGATGGAGACCAAAAATATGGAGAACTGCCACAAATCCATTGGGATTTGGATTAAATCTGACATACAATAAAGAGCTCCTGAGACCTGAACAAGCTTTTGATATGCTGAATTGAGAGTCTTCGAAGCGTCCAGCGGTTGCGTCGATTCCTCCACAAACTGAAGCATGACTTGCAAAGACTTTTTAAGAACAGCAAAGACACGGCTTAGATCCAGGCTGGTAAAAACGTCTGCAATGNCATTTTCTTAAGTTACTTTTGCCCCATGTAAGGCTATCCTCTGTTTCCGGAATTCGGGAAAAATTTTACCAGTGGATCCATATATCCGGGATGGAATCGAAAATTCAGCTCAAGGAATCCGGAATCCCGCTAATTATTGAAATCGGAAACAAGAAATGTGGAATCTTGTGCCTGGAATCCGAAATACACATCGTGGAATCCAGAATCTAAGACTGTCTTGGATTACCTTACACAGGGCAACCACTTTTTGATGTCTAGATATTGGATGAACGTCCTGTGCCTCGTGTTAAAGGTATTAGTACGTAAGTGTATTACCAAGACTAAGAGAAATACTTGAGTTCTCCATGTGGGCGCAGCATCTGATGGAAAAACTGCAAGTAAGTGAAGACACATATCCATGTTTTCTTTGGTGATTAAAGGACCAAGTCTTAGGCCAAATCTGGCCAGTGCGTCGACAGACAGGCCAAACTTGTGAGGCAGGTCATTCCACGAAGAATCTCCTTTCGATAACCAAGGGATGGAGACCAAAAATATGGAGAACTGCCACAAATCCATTGGGATTTGGATTAAATCTGACATACAATAAAGAGCTCCTGAGACCTGAACAAGCTTTTGATATGCTGAATTGAGAGTCTTCGAAGCGTCCAGCGGTTGCGTCGATTCCTCCACAAACTGAAGCATGACTTGCAAAGACTTTTTAAGAACAGCAAAGACACGGCTTAGATCCAGGCTGGTAAAAACGTCTGCAATGAAAAAAAAACGCTTAAAATTAAGGTAGTGTTTGCAAATGTTGAGATTAAAATCTTATCCTTGATTAAAACTTCTTTTGCCTTTATTAGTTTTGGGTGATATCTGATACTAAGTTAAAAAGAAAGGCAGATGAGATTCAAACAAAGACAAAAATAAGGCTACCAACTAGAAAAGCCAAACTTTACAGTAAACACGCGAACGAACATATATTATAGAAAATCAAAGGACCCACACAGTAATTTTCTTCTCTAGTGGGGTTAATTTAACTCCTTACAGTGGAGTTATTTCTTGTGGAGTTATTTTAACTCCAAAAAGGAGTTAAAAGAACTCTTTTTCAGAAGTAAAAGTGACCCCAGATATTGAGTTAAAATAAACCCAAAAAAAGGAGTTATCCTGTACCTAAAATTTTTACCCCACTTTCAGAGTTAAATTAACTCCAAAAAGAGTAAAAACAACCCATGTAACGAGTAAAAGAAACCCCATTTCAGACTTATTTTAACTCCAGACTGGGAATAAAAGAACTCGTTTTCAGGAGTAAAAACGACCCCAAATTCGGAGTTAAATTAGGAGTTAAAATAACCCCAAAAAAGGGGTTATCCTGTACCTAAAATTTTTACTCCATTTTTGGAGTTATAATAACTCTCTAAAAATTACGGTGCATCCCAAGTAACACCACCTGACTAGACTGATCAGAATCCTCAGCCTCATAACCATACAATTACCACCAAAAGGCTGCCTAATGTTATGTAGGTTACATAGGTAACATGGTCAGCTTCGCTTGCATGTATCGTGCTTTGTTTTCAGTTTCATACTCTTGCCACTTTATTGTCGTAGTTAGTCAACGTTGGAAATTGAGTTTTGCCTTGTTTGAGTTTACAATGGGACGCACATGTAAACAAATTAAACAAAGCGTCAAGGAAATCCTCTTTTAACTCCGTCTCGGTTCCTTGCAACTTGCTGCTTCGGCTTGGTTTCCTGGGTTTACATCAAACTGGAAAGGTCCTCGCTTCCATATTATTATTTATTCAAAATATTTCCCCGATTCTGATTGGCTAAAAGAACACGCATAATTCACCATAACCGGTTACTGATGACCAAATTTGGAAGAATTCTGTGTTTAACGAGGAAATGACGTCAAAAATGCAGCGTTTTGCAGGTTAATGCACCGTCAACCAAGAAGACCTAGGTACAAGGTTGAGTAGTTTTGGTTGTGAATATGAAAAATGGCGGACATTTCACTCGTTTCAAGAGTAAGAACTAGGCGAAAAAATAGCTAAAAACATGGCAAGAACAGCAAGAAGACAACTCGAAGGCGACATCTGCTATTTGGAGAATATTACCGTAGCTGAACAACCCTAAACGTGCACTATCGAAGACGAACTTAACATCGATGGATCGATGGAGGTAAGCATGTTTTAGCCATGTTTTTAAACTAGGAATTATTTTGAATGAATAATAAAACAATTATTGAATTCGG